CAACCTGAGACACTCGGTGGTGAAGTGAGATGCCTGAAGCGTGAGTCAGGACACCTCAACAACAACAACAAGACGAAAAGTAACCACAACCCAGACTCTGATCCGCCCGCCGCCGCTGGAGGAAAGCCAAGCATCTCTAAATGTCTGCATTCACACCTGAACCCTCCAAACTGTCTGTGAGACACTCGTGAAGAGGTCAGGAAGAGTTCCAAACAGGAACACCAAACCCTGACCTTTTTTGGTCACAATTTTCTGTTTTCAAATACTTTAAATTTTATGACTGTCTTTGACCAAAAAACAAAAATCCTGAGCCTCTGAACATGCACTCTTCAAAACTGAAAACAACTTAGCTTCATGTGAGCACTTTTCATTTCTTCCTGAGGAGGAACTGTGCTCTAAAATAAAGTATATCTGTCTGAAACCAGGTTTTTGGACGCCCCTCGGTTTACCAGATATGAGAGCAGTTATCAGGTCAACAGGTGTTGCAGCGACAGAAGCGGGTCAAGAGAAGTGGTTCAGATAGAAGTGATTGTACCCGACCTAAAAAGCCTCTGCATGTTTCTAATAAGCTCCACGAGCAGAAACGTGCTCAAACTAAGATCAATATTGGAGATGCTTTTGAAAAATGGAGAGAGGTTAGAACACAGAAAGGTTTACAGACCGATGCAGAGCTGGATAAACACTGAAGCTTCAGAGTCCACCACATGGTGACCTGTGTGAGCATCCACTCTAGAGAGGAGGAACGGCCTGATGACATATTGAGTCATTAATGTTACTTAATGTTTTATTCACAATGATGAGAGGACAGAACTTCACATGTAGCACTGAATGTTTCTCTCAATATAAAGTCATAAAGTTCACGTTTAGGGTCCCGAGAACATAAATAAGGATGATTCTGATTTATTTTTATTGCTCTGTTGACTGATGAGTTGATTTCACCTGTGTGTCATGAAGAGACCAGCTGATCTAAATCCCTCTAAGAGAAGGTAAAGCTGTGTGTAAACCTGCATCTGACCCTCGCTTGTTAAGTTTGAGCCATCAATCATCCTTTACGACTTCTCCCCGGAGGACAGCCTGAATCAGAGCAGAGGTGGTGAACGTGTCAGCTCTGACCTTCACTTCAATTTCACGACGTGTGGAAGAGAAGCGCAGAAGGAGATAAGGCGAGGACGAGGCTGCTGGCTGATGCCTCGGGTGAAAGAAAACCTGCAGATGTAACATGCATATTTTGATAAGTGCAGTGGAACATTCCAGTCATTCTCCACCATAAATACATGAGAGCGAGAGGCGACGCCCCTCACCCAGTGATCCCCCCGCTCCTCTTCTCCCTGCAGCTGCTATCAGCGCTCCTCGCTCAGATGTGCTGCCGAGCGCCCGCCACATTCTCGCCGGACGTTCACCTCCACGCAACGAGCCGCCTTTCAGAAAGTTTCCACTTGACTGAGAGGCCGAAAGGCACTCAGAGATGTTTATGTCTGTGCGGCTTTGCAGACTCTCGCTTTCACTTGAATTGCTGAAAAATGTCAGAGTCACCCACCAGAAGAAAAATCCCCCAAATATTTGAACGCCGCTGTGGAAAAATACTTGATGACAAGCCAGAGACCAAAACGGGAATGATAAACAGTTGTTTCCTCGCTGGTTTGAGGGATTGAATTAAAAAGCGAAATAATCAACAACATGCTGATGATACGCAGGTTTATCACTCACATACCGCTTTGCATGATGGGTCATATTCCACCTGAGGTAAACTGAAGAGTTTCAGCGCTACATGAAGGATAATTAGCCACTTCTAACCCAAAGTTTAAATCTAATGGCACATTTAGAAGAGAAGAGGGGAACCTGTGCTTTTGAGGAAAACTTCTAGGAAAGCTGTAAAGAGAGAGAGTTCTGGTTTTTCTACATCTTGAACTCTACTCAAGCTCAGCAAGCACTTTTCTGGAGCTGTCTCTGAGAATGCATCAACTTTCCTCTCATTCTTCAAAAAGAGAAAACCTCATCAATCATCCTGATCATCCAGAGGAACGTTGGCCTGAAGTCGACGGAGCTGCTAATCGATTCATGACCGACACTGCTGGAATCTGACTTCATGCATCGTGTGTCTGCAGAGAAAAGTAAAGGCTAAATGACGTTTCAACTTCCTCTTCTGCGACTTCAAATGACTGTTTGTGTCAAAGGAATCTGGAGGCTTTGAAAACAATAATGCACTTTTAAAAACACGGTTTACGCAGAGCAACATCAGAACAAAGAAGAACCCGAACACGACATCAACGCTTTGATCGAGCACGTTTTCTTTACATTGCACCCGTTGTTAAATCTCAGCTGCAGGCTGAATGATCTACAGGAACATCCTGTAACTTCTCTTTTGTCATTTAGACCTCCACAATATCTAGAATTAGGACCCATGTTTAAAAATATTGACCCGCTCAGGGGGCGTGGCCAGAGGGGTGGCATGGGCCCCCCTTGAAATCTGATTGGCCACCCCAGGCCAAATCTGTGATTGGCTTTTTGTCTCATCAGAGGCGGGAAACAACCTAATGGTCGTACTCTGAGTCATAAATAAATGATTTGCTCTTTCCATAAAAAATTGTGCACACATTCAAACTTTACATTTTCTTAATGCCAATAAACGTATTTTTGTCAGACAGCGTTCACGAGTTAGCATGCATTTTACCTAGTTTTTAAAAATGTGTCTTTGCAGATCTTTGTTTCTTTCTCTGAAGAATCAAGAAGCCAAATTCTGTTACTTACAAGTACGTATCATAAGTGGGGATAGAATCCCACCCCCCCACCCCCCCTGCATAAGTCACACCAGTTAAAACAGTCTGGACACGCCCCTGTTGACCCCTCTATCATATCCTGCACCCTCCAGAAACATGGTGCAGAATAGATCTCCCCTGAATCCCAAGGTGAGAAAGTTTCTTCAAACTTCTCATCACCTCTTGGTGCTGGCTTCCTTTTCCTCTCTGGATGAACACGTTCTCCTCTTTTTACAAACTGAATGAACTCCAGAAATTCATGATGAACCTCTCCTCCCTAAGTTTGTCTCATCTCAGCTTTTAATGACATTGTTACTGCCGTGTTTGACATCAGTCTGTCAGCTCACCAGATGTTTATCTCCACAAAGTATGATCATAATTTCTGAGATGTTTTCATTTTGAACTCTGTCTGCAGAGAGTGTGAAGTTTCTCTGCAGGTTTCAACCCCCCCCCCTCGAGGCGACAGGTACTGTACCTTGTCACACACTGTGAAGCATGATTGATGCTTCATAATCTGTCCTGAAACAAATTAGACCTGCCTCTCATTGGCTCTAAATCAGCAGAGCGAGCACATGGAGTCCTGCTCATGTGTCTGTCAGAACACATCACACTTTGTACCTTGTTCACTGCAGGTAGGTGTGTGTCACGCAGCACGGCCCCCGAAGCATTAACATTCCTGTGTTTTGTGGTCGACCTGCTAATGCCGAGCAAACATGATGAAACAGCTCTCTGCTGTGTCAGCTGACATCACCACTAAGTCCGTTCTTTACTCAACTCAATCTCCCCGTTAAGTTCCCGCTACGCCGACAAAAACATGCTCATCTCACCGCCGCTCGTTTAGATCTGAGTCGAAGAATACCTGGATGTATCGCCGCATTTTTAGAAAACTGCGACGCCACAAATGAATGTCCTGCAGCTCCTCTAACGGCCACTAGATGGTGCTTTCAAGAAAACCCATCTGCTCGTCTTCTTCTTACGAGCTTTATTGACGATGTTGACAGTTTTCCTCTTTTTGTGTCTCGTCCTCCCCCCAAATTTACATTTATGTAGACCTTTACCTTAGCTTTGCAGTCCAGTTTCATTCTCTCCTCATATTTTGAACATTAAAAAGGGAATATGTGAGTTAAAAAATGCAGAATTACTGATCCCTGTCTCTGAACTTGTCTCCGTCTTTGTTTCACATCTCTGTTTTTGTTTTCTCATTCCTGAGCGACAGCAGACGATGTCAGAGCTGACTCACCTGTCAGATTAAGAGTGGACAGAAACGTATCATTTCACAGCACTTAACAACATCTCCATGACTTCCACCCACACTTAACGGCTTATATGTAGGAGCAGTTATACCTCTGATTGCCGTCTGTGCGTGCGTCAGCGTCATCTCACCTCGTGTTTGATTCCCTCTCAGGCTGTTGTGAATGTGAACTTCTGTAAAGGTTCAGTCAGCTGGAATAAATCAGCACAGGAGCATGTCTCCCCATAAACGCTAATTGCTAACGCAGCATCAGTCGTAGTTGGAGCGTCTCTCCTCCCAATCACGCCGGGAGTGACCTCGGAGGTTAAACACTTGACCCCTGAAGACCTGCTGAGTTTTGTTGTGGGTATAATTAGGCCTGTTAAGGGTCTTTCTGTTTGCCTGAGTGGGCTCATAGAGCTCTATGGAAAGGTTTGTTCAAACTCCCAGCCCTGAGGAAACTCAAACACCGGCCGCTGAGAGGAACATGTTCACTCCAGGGATCAGATTTGATCGCTGTGTGGACAAAAAGGCTTCCAAGTTCTGCTCTGTACATTTTATTACATTTCTGAAGCTATTATATTAAAACTTTAAAGCACGTGCTCATCACGTCTGTGTCACAGCAGGAAGAGAAGAAGCTCTTTATGCACCCTGCAGGAAAGTTTAAAGTCAGAATGTACAACATGTTCCACATAAATATATCAGAGATCCAGTCTCTCCTGTGTAAATGTGTCTCTGAGTCATGACTGTCTACAATGAGGGAGAAGCTCGAGTCCTGTTGGCTGTGTTGTTGTCAGAGCCGTGTTTACGTGGACGGGACGGCCGGCTCCTCCCCTTGTGTATAAAAGCATAATCAAGCACCATTAAGCGCAGGTGGCGAAAAAATAGTCCCTTTCTCGAGCTGCAATCACCTGTGTCCTGCTTTGTTGTGTTAGCATGCTAATGTTAGCGCTCACGGTTTGATCTGAGTCCCGGAGCTTCTCTTACATCTCAACACACAAACAAGAAGTCCATAAAGTTGGTAATAAGAAATTTATTTTCAACAATAACAAAGAAGAAAATATTTGAAAGCATATTGGTATGTTACATGGACTGTACAGGGATCAGACGGTGTGTTTACTCTACATGAATCTGAGACCAGCGCTAAAAGAAGAAAGGAAACTGATGAACACGTACTCCATGTGTAGGTAGAAAAAAGGAAAGCAGGTGATGGAGTGATATTATACCCTGATACAGTGTTTAGGCCTCTTTTCCCCTCAAACTCATTTACAACACAAACGTGACGGCGCCGCCATCTTTCCCCGGCGTCGCCTCGTGGCCTCTTTGGTTCCATGATTAGGTATAATACATTAGAACAGAGCTCGATTATGCTTCTATAAAAATAACTTTTTTTATTTCAATGGCAGTTTCTATTCTTTCTTTACCCTCGTCACTCGTCACGCAGCTCCTCAGTGCAAATATTCTAACAAGCGCTTCGCCAACAACACGAGCCAACAACAAGCGAGAGATTACGGCGGCGGCGGTAGAGTGGAGGTCGAGCGTGGGACGGAAGGCGGAGAGGTAACAGTCGCTACCTGCACCTCTTCAGTATGCAGAATATAATGAAGCAGAGAGAGAGAGCAGGTCGCTGCAGCGTCTGACCTGAAAACATCAAAGTGATGTTCGAGCGAGGCCTGAAACTGTCTCAAAGTGTGTTTCGGTGCCAAACGGGCCATGACGGGAACTCCACCGGGACTCGTTCATTAAGACACCAAAACTACTGTTCAAGCAAGCGTCCCATCTGGGTCAGAGTTAGCCCCGTTAGCCCCGTTAGCCTTTTTTTATGTTCCACAGGTTCCAGCAGATGATTCAATAACTCTGCAGCACAAAGTCCAGTCCTGAACTGTTGCATCATGACAGACGACCAGTCCAGGGTGTAACTCCGCCTCCCAGCCAAAGCCCGACCTGCCCCTGCTTGCCGCTCTCACATTTCAAGTATCGTCGATCGTTTGTCAGAAGAGCTTCACTTCAGCTAAATACTATACATTGCATAGCTCATGCGGCACTTATTTCTTTTTCCAAGGACTGTGGGCGATGGCGCGCCACATCGGGCTAATTAAAGGCATTTCAATCTGCAAGTGCTATCAAAGAGAGCGTTGGGAAGTACCATGCTGCACCGTCTCCAAACTCACCCTGACTGTGATGAGAGATAAGCTTTGACTTTTATTTCAACATCTGGAAGGAACCTGAACCTCGCCCTCAGAGGGGAGCGCGAGTCGGGTTTTATCTGGCAGCTTTCAAACGTTAACGAGATCCGATAGATGTAAGGTCATTCCTCAAATTCAGGGAGAAAACTTGTTTTTTTATAACTTCATCGATACAGAGACACCTGACCATCACAGTGACGGTCAAAGATTTGCACCCTCCGCTCTGTCTCATGACGGGAAGAGAAATGTTTCAACAAGAACTCAAAGTTTTTTCACATCCACCATCAAAGATCAGATTAACGGGGGAAAGCTATGATAATATTCAATTGAAATGATTAACTCTGTGCAACATGTGATATTTGATATTCAAGAGGAGACAGACCGATCGGTTTTTGATGAAACATCCCATCAGTACTTAGAGTTAGACACAGTCAAGCACTTACCCAGAGCAGATACTTTTAGACTTTTAAATGATCAACTCCCGACAACAATAAGAGAGAAGAACGACCATCCACAAGAGGAAAGTCAAACTCAGGAGAGCTGCGTCATACAGTTTGGTGATGAGAAGTCTCTACAGATGAAGTTTTCAGATGTTTCTCTGCTTGAAGCCGGTGTGATGGAGGAGCAGAGTGTCAGTGTGAGTCCTGAAGTGCTGTACGTTGGTGAAGTCTGATTGGTGCATTAACATTTAAAAGAGGCATCATTGAATCACCTCCACCGTCTCTGTGACTCCTGTAAGGCTCCTCCTCCACGCTCATGGTTTGTTTTCTACACATGAAGAGTTGAGACTCTAACTCTCACTCTAACAGTGAGTCTTTAAAACACTCTCAAAGCAAACCTTTTACTATCTCAGAGACGTCGTCCTCCAGAGAATATAACAAAATATATCAACAAACATAAATATATGTACAAGTTTTGTGCAGGCGTGTAGATATGTGTGGATGAGGTGCACGCTCCATCGTCCATAAATATTCTGTTTCTATATTCTTTTTTTTTTTTTGTGAAATGGTGAAGTTCTTCAGTTCCACCTTAAATAAAAAACCAACTCAAGCACAGCCGCACTCCTCCACGATCATGTTTGGAACGTCCCGCTTCACGATGTTGTACTCGTCGTCGAAGTAGAGCATGGACATGGTGCTGAGCTTGGTGGGGATGCAGCAGGAGTTCATGGAGCCCGGGCTCATCCCCCGTATGCGGTACTGGTTCACCACCGCCGTGTGGAATGAGGAGGCAGATCCGGGGACGCCTGCCATGTAGGCGGGACAGTTCCCCTCGCAGTAGTTCCCAAAGTAACCCGACGGAGCGATGATCCAGTCGTTCCAGCCGATGAGCCGGAAGTCTATGTAGAACTGCTGGCGACAGCACAGGCTGCTGCTGCCGTCACACTCCAACCCCCTCTTACGGATCCGGTGTTTGTTGTCGGCCTGCCGGGCCTGAACCACCAGGAAGGGCCGGTGGGACTCGTCGTTGTGGTTCAGCAGGACGGGGACGACGCCGTCTGTCTCGCAGCCCTCACACCGCACATCCAGGTTCTGTCGCCGGTCGCCCTTCTCGAACACCAGCCGCACGGCGTCGGTCAGCATGAAGGTGTGCCAGCCGCTGCGCTTCAGCTCCACACGTTTCTCCACCAGGTTCCACTTGCTGCTGAGGCCGGGCTCCTGGTAGTACACCTTCACCGTCACCTTCCTCCTCGGGCGCACCTCCAGGGGGGACGGCAGCAGCTTGAAGTAGAGCCAGAGGGTGGCCTGCGTCGCGTACAGGTTCTGGTTCCCCTCGTTGGAGATCTGGAAGAACAGGCTGGACTTGGACGTCACCAAATCATCTGAGGAACAAAAAACACAGGAGTCATGGATTATTGATAAGACACAAAGTCAGACATGTGCTTTACTTCTTGACCTTTGAGAGACCTCGTTTTAGAAAAGTCTGAACACCTGGAAGAGACCTGAGGAAACTGACATCACACTGAAGAACTCTAAAAAGACCAGCTCCAAAGAGGACTACACATCAGAGTAACAACAGACTCCGCCTCCTCTTGGTTCGGGGTGGCAGCACAGATCCTGTGGACTGGGACTGGAAGGCGTTGGGCGCAGGGCCACTTGGCCCCCGACTCATCCCAAATATGAGAGGAGGAGGGGGAGGGGGGTCTTAAGAGTGCAGCACACAAAGCTTCAAAGTCTCTGCGTTGAATGCTGCCTGAAAATGAGATCTTATGGAGGCTAACTGTTTTTATAATGAGGCAAACTGGAAAAACAAAACCTCTAAATGAAACGATGAAACACTCGGGAGGGCAGGGGGGAGGGGGGGATTCAAACCCCTCAGGAACAGAAGTCTGAAGGAGCACCACACGTTTTTAATCTGAAACTAAAAGTATCCTTGGTTTGTTTTTATCTTATTTATGAGACTTCCTGGTTTCATCAGCTGCCAATGCCGCCATGAAAGAAAGTTTTGATCTGCAGCAGAAACATATGAAGAGCTTCTCAGGATGACAGATGACCTGATGAAACAACATTTTGAGTCAAAGCTGGTACCGCTATCTTTGTTTGATTTATCAAATCCCCCGCTGACTCACTTTAAGAGAGGCTCCAGAGAGGCTGATTGACAGCTGTCAGGTGAAGAAGATTGGAGACCTTCATCAGGTGTGAACCTCCTGAACTCTGACAGAGTCCCACACAGAGAAATTGAGATTGACAGTTGTGGGAAACCAGGTCGCAGGAGGACACCATGTCCAGAACATGAACCTGACAGAATGCTTCCTGTTTACCTGAGGGAAAGGACCAATCAGGCGTCTTCTTTACATCTGTAATGAGTTACCTGCAGGTGTTTATAGTACTGTTGAAATAAACTAAGATGAAGAAACGTTTATGCAGAGTTCTGGAGGCGGCAGACGAGGACATCTATCATCAAAGAGATCCTCCACACGTGTGACCTCATCCATCAGGAGATGATGTCATCATTACTCTGGGATGTTAGCGAGGCTCTGCAGCCGTTTATAATCTGTCACTCAGCAGAGACAGAGAGAAGGATGATAACGTTAAGTGCTTTAAGCTGGGCTGCAGGTGCAGACCTCACAGGTGGGACGCGTCCGTCTGTCACCACATATTCAACCTCGCCCTCTTCTCCTGAACCGTACGGATCAAAGAGTGAAGACCCGCTGTGCAGGTCCCTGAATGAGGGAGTGTCCGCCGCACAGCGAGCGCCGTGATTAAGACGCTTTAATTGTTGTCTGAGAGAGAATTCATTTGTCACAGACGATCAGCGGCTTTGTGGGTAACAGTAATGAGGAGGCCACAAAGAGAAACATCGAGGGGATGAGCTGGACAGAAAACTGGGAACAATGCAAAGTGAGTTTTTAAAGATCAAGTGAAAGAGCTCAGCAGCTGTTACCGATTGTAAAAACATTCAAATCTCTCCAACACGAGTTTCTAATGTTGTCATAAAAACTTTGAGGAGACACCCACAGAGAGACGATCAACACCTCCTTCAACAGATACTAACTTCTCCACTTCCTGCTGCATAAATGTCCACTCTCACTAAAACACACACGATGATGAAGAGATAAACTTCTTAATAAAATAAACTGGTATTATGACGTCCTGTTACTTCCTGTTTCCAAAGAATAAGAACGAGTTCTTTAATTCAACATGAAAAACTACAGAAGCTTCCTTCATGTCCCGTCTTTTTTCTCTTCATTGTAGTTTTAGACATAAATATTAAAAAATGACTTCAACCTTGTAAAGTGAGTGAAGAAATTGGGCGGCAGTCGTTCAGTCTGTAAGGTCATAGGTCAGGAACCAGAGGGTCACCGGTTTAAGTCCCGGTGAGGACTCAAGTCTGGCTGCTGGAGATGTGTGTGTGTGTGTGTGTGTGTGTGTGTGTGTGTGTGTGTGTGTGTGTGTGTGTGTGTGTGTGTGTGTGTGTGTGTGTGTGTGTGTGTGTGTGTGTGTGTGTGTGTGTGTGTGTGTGTGTGTGTCAGAAACAGAAGACGAGCTTCAACATTATCTTGCACACAACAAAACGTCTTTAACCCATTATTAAATAAACCAGGTTATTAACTGATGAGTGTTTAGTTGCCGTGGTTACCGACCCCTAAAGCGAAATAGTCAACCAAACCGTCTTTAGATAATTCACAGCTCGATTTGTCTTTCGCTCATTCATCACGCTCACGTTAAAGACGACGTTAACTCGACTCAAAAACTGCAAATGAGACTTTCGTCAAAGACACACACACACACACACACACACACACACACACACACACACACACACACACACACACACACACACACACACACAGAGGGAAACAAAACACACAATCATATACACACTGTGAATTGTAATGGGGTGCCAGGCTGCAGGGTTTCAGTCCGTCAATCTGCATTCAGGCCGCACGACGGCCGACACAAAAGCTCTGACCTTATACTGAGGAGACTGACACAACACACACACACACACACACACACACACACACACACACACACACACACACACACACACACATACAAATACACAATGTCATGGAAGTAGAAGTTTGCACACAAATGTAGAGCGACATGTAGTACAGAAAAGCAAAGACACACAAACAGGGATGGAGGAGACGCGGACATATGACATAACACACACACACACACACACACACACACACACACACACTCTCTCTGAGCAGCATTTGTTGATGTGGAAAGCAGATGTTTCCAGGCACTGGTCGGACACACGTGGGCGAGGCAGGTGGTGTCGTTGATCATTTTCAGTTTCTTTCAGACTGTTCCTCTGAGTGTTGTCACCGTGCCACGTCCCCGCTGACAGCCGCTCGCTGCCGGTAATGCAGCCAACTGGCACGCTGACTGCGCCGAGGTGGAAGGTCTGCAACACAGCGGCCACAGAGAGAAACATCTGAAACTAAAGGCTCTCAGCAGGGAGCAAACCTCCGCCGACACCGAGCAAAGCTGCACAAATTTGTCTGTGTGTGCTTCCAGGAAAGTGAACAAAAACACTGAGACAGAAGCCAGGAGTCCCAGATGTCCAACTTTCTCTGCAGGACATGAATGCAACACACAGGCAATGCTGAAAAATCATCCCTGAACTAATCAGCTCTCTCTCTTTCTCTGTGCGCCAAACCTCACCGGAATCTTCTGCAACTTTCAACCTGACTCCAAATGTTCAAATATCTGCAAAATAACAAACTGGAATTCATCCATTAAGTGTGAGAAGTCACAGGCTAAACACTCAGAGGACAAACCAGACACAAGATGTTAAACTGGCCTCTATCCGGACTTCCTACTGGAGAGAGTCCTGATTTTAAAGAGGCTGTCGGAACAACCTCCACATGATGACGGAGCAGCAGGATTATGTAAAATAAATGTTTATGTTGATCTGATCTCTGTGACTTCTTCTAAAGCGTGCAGGAGCAGCAACGTCTTTGGCGGGATTTCAGACCCGTGTCAACATCTGTTCAACATCAGCGAGCTCTCTGGGTTGTTTCTCGTTCAGTCAGTGGACAGAGAGAACCACACACACACACACACACACACACACACACACTGATGCTTTGCCTTCATGCATCAAGTATCATTTCAGGTATTCAAACTACAAGTCAGACCTTTTATTACACAACACAGAGCTCACTCCCTGTCCCTCTTCTTCAGTCACATCACAGTTTAGTTAAATTAAAGTTTTTCACTGCAGCCTGCATGTCTTATTTTTGAGATGCTCATGGATGATAGGAGGAGGTTTTCCTGTTTCAGAGTCATATGTGATGTTTAAAATCAGCGCCTGTTTTCTGTGTTTCTAAGTTTTTCTTTTATCAGCTCCTCTCTTCCTGAGAGATGCTTCTGTTTGTTGCACAGACTAAACATCTCTCCTTGAACAAAGTCAACACTAAGGGCAATTATAGAGAAATGTAAACCTCATATATTCTTAATTAGACTGTAATAAGTTTAAGAGTGGCTAATATTGCTTTTTAGTTTTTAGTTAAAATGTCTTTTAAATAAGTTTTTAATTTGCTGTCAGAAGTGTGTGAATCTGCATCCTCTCTCCATCACGCACCTTTCTCCGCAAAGCTGATGATCTCGGAGCTTTCCTCCAGCACATCGTTGCTCATCGGGTGTCCGTCCAGGTTGGGGATCTCCACCCTCCCGTCCTCGCGCAGCTTCCCGGCGTGCAGCTTCCTCAGCGCCGTCACCATGGCCGCCTTCGACACCGGGTGCGTGATGTTGGGCCTCTCCCGCATCTGCAGCCTGCTCAGGATGTGCCTCTTCACCGCCTCCAGGAAGTCCACGTTCAGCCGGCCCGACTCGGGGTCCTCCGGCTGAGCCACGCCGCAGGACGCGCAGGTATTCTGGGACGCCGTTTGCGCCTCAGCCTCGGTCCCGGGCGCAGCGGTGCAGCGGATGGAGAGGACACAAGCCACGAAGAGTGCTAGTCTGAGAAGACAGCTACTCATTTTCTGTTTGAGGAGGAGTAGAATCACTTTTTCCCTCTTTTGTCAGAGTTAAAATCATAAAAAAAAAGAATTAAGAACAGGCAGAAAAATCCTCTCAGCGCCGAGCTGTCTCCATGCGTAACGGCGCTCCGCTCACTTCTGACGCACTTGGATGCCGCTCGGTGCACTTTGTTTCCATTCACTCTGCGATGTGTGCAGGAAATCTTTTTATTACATCGTTATTTGGATGTCTTTTGTCTTTGTCAACAGCCTGTCAAAAACGGGAAGCAGAGTCCTCGTTTATTCCCGACCTCAGAGACTCTTTGCGTCGGAGTTTGGATCAGCCTCACACAAAAAGCATCACCTCTGTGAGCAGAAGAAGAAGAAAACGTGTCATGGTTTCATTAATCAGCATCAGCCCAGCTGGAAATCTCCGTTTAACATATTCCACAAACGAAGAAGAGTTGGATCCAGATCCCACCTGCACATGTTTAAAGTTCAATCCATCATCTGTTTGGTCCGCGCGCACACAGAGCTCATCATCTCGCTCACTTTTCTTCACTTCTCTAAATGTGTTTCTCTCGTTGCTGCTCGTGACTCCCGATGTGCTGCTGCCGGAGTGCCGATGCGCAATTCAGAAGAAGCTGCCGAGCAAGAGGAGGAGAGGGAGGAGTGCCAGTGAGCGCACCGAGGAGCGTTTCCATTCTGGCGTCTGAGACTCGGGAGCTGCCACACACCGAAAACTTTTTATATACAGGGGGATCAGATCAGGGGGGCGGGGCCAATGAGGAGAGAGAAGCAGGGAGGGGGGCGGTGTCGGTGTCGGTGTTACTCCCTGAGGAGAAATCTGAATTATTCCTGAAGGGATTCACGTCGCGCTGCATGATGAAGCTGTCTCACCGAGTCCCAACATTTAACTTTTTTTAAATCTCGTTTTGCAGATTGTCTGTATAATATTGTAGATTATTTTTGTGTCGATGCAGAAACGAAGTCTTACATGATTATTTCTACTTGTGCACTTTATGGGAACGTTTCAAAGTGATCATGTTGATCTTTGTTCTACGTGAAATAACGAATTTATATTCAAACTTTAAAGAAGTAGTCATTAAGTTAAAAAAAAACAAAAAAACGAAATACCTGACGTTAAATGTGCATAAAATGAAGGCGGTTTGGTGGATACTCTGAAGAACCACGTGTCTGCAGGATCTTTATTAAACGTTTATTCAGAGGTTTTCAGGATGCATGTTGGAGTAGTTGTTGTTAAATGTGTCATCAACCCACACCAAAAACTCCTTCTGAATACACATCATGACACATCGTGACAGAAATAAAGATCCTGAAACCAAACTTAGGTCAGAGGATGTGGGTGCCAGAGTAACTCATCCTGAGAGCTTACAGCAGAGGCGCTGCTTATCAACAGGCAAGGCAGGCTATAGCTCAGGGCCCCAGCAGTCAGCGTTGGGACAATGGCAGACATATTGGTGATAAATGCAGGTTGTACGCCCCCCCCCCAATAGGTCCTGCCTGGGGCCCCAACAGACTCTAGAATCAACACTGCAAAACTTTAAGAAGAGACTCGTTCTCAAACCTCACATCAAGTTCATCTTCTAAATCAAGACAGAGTCAAACTGTAGGGGATCATATTCAACCGACATTCATTTGTTTTAACCTCTTAGAGGATCACTGAAGACGTCTCTGCATGTTTGTGGTGTTAAAGAGTCACTTTTCTCATTAGATTGTATTTGTTGTGTCTTATAAAAGTGAGAAAAACAGAAGATGTGATGTAACATGAGAATCTGTTCAGCTATAGTACGATCCAGTCTGTGCTCAGAAGAAGGTTTTTCAGAAGGATAAAACACCTCGATAAAGTCTGAGGAGAGAACACAAAGTGTGAATCAGAGCTTTGTTCAGTGTTTTTAATGATTGATTTCATTCACTGTAAGATTTCAGCTACAAATAAACCTCAAAGAGACGCCCACATATGCAAACAGCCCGAGCCTCTGCAGTCAAATTCAGCCTGATCCTCAACAGCTCATCGAGTGTGTGTGTGTGTGTGTGTGTGTGTGTGTGTGTGTCCACTTCGAGCCCACATGGCAGGACGTCCGGGCAACTACATTTGTTAGTAAAAACTCCAAACCAAATCAGCTCCACGCAGCACGAGCAGTAGGAGCAGCTGAGGTGACCTCTGACCTCTCAGCTGCTGATTATCATAAAGAAAAACAACCTGAAGAGTAGAGACATGTCAGCTGTGTTTCTCTCCTCACAAGACCCTGTTAGGTTTTGATTTAAATCAGTCTTATTCAACTTATTCCGACTTATTCTTCTGTCTAAATGTGATCAATCTGAATCCTTAAAAAATCCAAATATAGCGATTAATATCGGGCTAAATTTGAGGGGAACTTTGCTCAAAGACAAAACTATTAATTTAACTAAAGATTCTCTGATAAGACCTTTGATTAGAAACTGTGAGATGTCGAAATGTTATTTCTGCTCTGTGTTGCAGAAACAGAACCAGCAGTGGGCCACTCTGCAACGTGCAATGTGATCAAACAGCGCCATCTATGTTCCAAATACTGGAACTACATGCAGGACCTTCCTGTTGGACAGTCAGGCACTGTTTTCTATTTAATAAAGAAATAAAAGTTCAAGGAATACCAATTAAATTGTTTATTATTAGCTATGTAGCTTATTTGTTTATTTTATGCATATATATAATAATATAATAATAATAAATATATATATTATAATAAAACAATACCGCCTGATATGTAAGGTATGTTCACAAAATTAATATGTTACTCTCTAGAAAATATGCTGGTGTTTAAATTATTTATTTTATTATTTATTTATTTTTTAAAATAGATAACGGGGAATACAAGGAATTCCGTGACATCACATCCTGTTAATGCTAGCTGCCTCGTCCTCAGATAAGGAAAAAACAAGATGTATCACTCTGTATGTTTTTCCCGGTTGCGTGTCCGTCCCTACGCTTCACTGAATTTAAAAACTGGGTGATGGGCCTCATTTCGCCAAACAAGGTTACATTTTATCAAAGCCTATGAATAAAATTAATTAGTCTCATGAGAGTGCGTTCGTATTTGTTTTCAACGGGTGATATTTGTGGCTTCATTTTAGGCAACTGCGATATCTGTCGCCTTGGTAACGGCTACGCTCGCACCGCCAGCTAGTTGTTCCTCGCCATTTTTTTTTTCTTTAGACACGGAGTCGCTCCTCCTCTCTTCATAGACAATCTTTGTAGAGTCCGTGTACAAGGTGGGGCAGAGAATCTCCTGGTCAACTTGTAAAAGTTGAGTGTGTGTCCGTGTATGGCGGATTTCTCAGCGAACTACAGGAAAACACGTTAGCAGGTGAGTCGTGTTACTTTTTCTGTGTAGTTTAACACATATAAACTCTTTCCTTTAAAGTTTTTTTAAAGCCTATTCACTGGAGAAGAAAGAAAGCGTTATCTTTCACTGTCTCGGTAGCTAGCTATCACTGTGCTAAGCGACACGCCTAAGAGCCAATGACAGGCGACAGAGGGGAGTGCTCTTCAGGCTTTTGACCAATCAGAGACGGTTTAGAGGCAGAAGGCGGGAACCGGGAAGAGCTGAAGTGGCTGTTTAGTGTTTGGTAAAAAGTGGTTTTCAGCTGTCAGCTGGTTAATACAGAGAGGAAGCTGCGTGTTGACAGGATGAAATATAGTTCCTCTTTTCGCACAAACAGGCAGGTTGATCATTTAGAAGTTATTTCACAGCTGAGTTTAACCTAAAATCCCCTCTTATTCTCTGAGCCGACTTACTGTAACTCTTCTTCTGTTGTTCTGCCCTCATGTTCGTGACCCTGCAGGCTTCAGCCCGCATAACATTCAACCCGTAAAGGTCACACACAAGAGGGGGTTTTTCCACGTATGCTTCACAGCAGAGTGTTTACAGTATCTCTCTATCAGCAGGCCCTGAACACTTTAACACTGCTGCTGCTGGATCACACACACCTGAGACCTGTGGACAGCTCAATCACACACCTGAGAGTTTGGTCTTCCTGAAGGATAACCATCTGCTGATCTTTTTAAATGTCATAACTCTTAACTTCCTATCACTAATACCTGTCTGTGAGGTATTTCCAGACTCAGCGTGTGGATGGAAAGACAGTTCAGCATCAGTATCGGCTCATCAGCAGATGTTTATTTTCATGCTGGCGTTTAGTGCTGATTCAGAGAAGAGGTTTTTTAATTGGGCAGATGATGAAGTCACCTGTTGGACAAACTCTGACTTGTTTTTATTGTCAAACCTGAGAGAAAGTGAAATAAACACAGTTATGTTTGTGTTCAAATCCCGTTTCTTTCCTCGTCTGCCAGCTCCTGCTCGTCTCTTCGGGTTGTTTCTCGTCTCGGCTGGAGCTGTGAGCGGCTGGACTGAGGCGGACCACAATCATGGCTTCGGGCAAGAACAAGAACCAGACGTCTCTGGCTCTCCATAAGGTGATCATGGTGGGCAGTGGCGGAGTGGGGAAGTCCGCCCTCACCCTGCAGTTCATGTACGACGAGGTGAGTCAGCAGAACTACATTTCCCATAAACCCTTTCTGTGTCCTGGTGCTCAACAATTTATCCGTCGCAGTTTGTGGAGGACTACGAGCCCACCAAGGCCGACAGCTACAGGAAGAAGGTGGTGCTGGACGGCGAGGACGTTCAGATCGACATCCTGGACACGGCGGGTCAGGAGGACTACGCCGCCATCAGAGACAACTACTTCAGGAGCGGAGAGGGCTTCCTGCTCGTCTTCTCCATCACAGAGCACGAGTCCTTCACCGCCACCTCTGAGTTCAGGTGAGCGGACAGTCTGTTCCATTTCTACTTGTGTTAAAACTAAATGAGCAAAAGGCAACAAAAGCATTTTTTTAATAGAGCTCATAAACGTCACCTCTGATCCGGTTTGTCATAAAATGAGAATCTGTCCTTATAAAAAGCTGTTTAAAGTCCATGAAGGTTTAGAAATTTGTACGCTGACACCATCCAGCTATGGACTTGCAGGATGATTTATTTAAAACTACAGAGAGGGACAATGTGGGATTTAAAAAAATGCTTAACCTTTCAACAAAACTGTGGGATTTGTTTCCTGCCCATTTACGGTAAAATGACCTTTTGAACCTCATAAGAAATATTAAACTCGCTGTATGTCTTTGTCATGAGGGTTCCAGAGCAGTCACAGTACGTGTGTGTGTGTGTGTCAGGGAGCAGATCCTGCGGGTGAAGGAGGAGGAGGCTATCCCTCTCCTCCTGGTGGGGAACAAGTCGGACCTGGAGGAGCGGCGGCAGGTTTCTGCAGACGAGGCCACGGCGAAGGCAGGCGAGTGGGGGGTTCAGTACGTGGAGACCTCGGCCAAGACGAGAGCCAACGTGGACAAGGTAACAAATAACCAGCTCAGTGTGACGGAGAGTTCCTTTTAAAGGCGGAGTCAGTCGAAATGTTTGTAAACATTCAAACGAGGCTCATCTCCCCCAGAAGCCCCGCCCACTTACTGCAGGATGTAGTGTGTACATTTACTGCTTGTAGCTACACTGCACGATAGCACAAGCTAACCGCCGGAGTTTGTCCCCTTCCTGTCCAACAGGAAGTAGACCAACTCCACGTCCACGGGTAAAAGACAACACAAGGTTCACCCTCGTTTTAGAACGAGCTTTATCTGCTTGGTGTTTCTCCTCACTCTGATTATATTTTCTCTTCTTTGCTGTCACGTCCACGTCCGTCATATTCACCGGTTTGAATCTCGTCCAATCACTGAATTGTATCCACTCCTAAACTCACCTGCTGCGCTGTCATTGGCTGGAGGAAACACACCAGCTCCGCCCAGAAACGTCCCGAGTCAACCAGAACAAAGCAGAACAGTAAAATCCAGTCAGAGGACAGAGTCTCTGCAGACACAGTCACCACCACACATGTATGGAGGCCCAGAAGGGACAATGGAGCAGCTTCACTTTAGGAGAAGTCTGTGTTTTATTTTGAAGGAGGAAGCTGCTGACTCTGTCTTCACTTTAGGAGAAGTCTGTGTTTTATTTTGAAGGAGGAAGCTGCTGACTCTGTCTTCACTTTAGGAGAAGTCTGTATTTTATTTTGAAGGAGGACTTAACTGAAGTATGAATAAAAACAGCTGCATGAGCCACATTAATGATCAAAGATAGTTTCTCTTTTTTATTTTCTTCAGACTCGGCTACTTGAAGAAAAGAAGACAAGCTAACTATTTCTCTCTCTTGTGTCTCTCAGGTGTTTTTCGATCTCATGCGCGAGGTCCGCAAGAAGAAAATGGCGGAGAGCAAAGACAAGAACGGACCGAGCGGCAAGAAGAAGAAAAAGCGTTGCTGCATACTTTGACCCCTCGAGGTCACAGCCGAGGTGACAAAGTGCCAAAACCAAAAATAAAATCTAAAAGGCAGTCAGACGGACTGATCCAAACAGGCAGCAGCCTCACACCTGCCCCCCCTCACCACACCTGCCCGCCTGACTGCCCGACTGCTGCACCGTTTCTCTGCATCAACACTCACTCCATCAGCCGACGAGGGAAACACCCGGGCATTTTGTTTTTACAACCAAACTATTGTACAAAATCTGCATGATGAGAATGTGGTTCCTCCCTGTGTTTGAGAAAAATCTCACTTCTGTTATCGTTTGATTTTAAAATGTCAGGAAACCCCCGTGTGCGTCCTGATTCTTCTTCCTCTTTATGTACGGATCAGGTCCAATCTCTCCTGCAGATGTTGACCCAGCTGCAGGGATTTACTCCGAGCGTCCAACAGCGACGACCTCACACTTCACCCAGAGGTGTTGGACGAGGCTCGGGTCAGAAAGTGGACCGTGGTGTCCGTGTACTTCCTGTAGCGTCCTCCTCGTTTCTCTTTCTACCTGATTTATTTGACAATCTTGGATTTTGCTTGTAATGTCAAGAAATTCTCACTCCAGATGTTACAGCGTCACGTCTGTGGTCTCTTTGGAGAGTCTCTTGTATCTTCACACATTCCTGATTCATGGTCTTTCCCTTCCACACACTCCTTTAGTAAGAAAGCTCTACCCTCACGTTTATAATCAAGGTGAATAAAAGGGACTCTATTTACGTCATGTGGTCTTCATGTCCTGTTTGTTTATGACGTGTGGAGTGAATGGACCAAAATAAAAGGAAAGAACCCTTCATCCCGAGGCTTTGTTTGATGGCTCCCCTGTCTTTTTATTTCTTTATCATTAAATGACTCGTGTGGTGGTTAGCGCCTCAGAGCGAAGAGGTTCCTGGTTTGAATCCCCGTCTGACAGGAGTCTCTGTGGAGTTTGCATGTTCTCCCCGTGCATGTGTGGGTTCTCTACAGCTTCGTCCCACAGTCCAAAGACATGCTCATTAGGTTCACTGCTGACTCCAAATTGTCTGTAGGTGTGAATGTGAGTGTGGCTGGTTGTCTGTCTCTATATGTCAGCTCTGTGATTGGCTGGTGAACAGTCCAGGGTGTAACCCCGCCTCTCACCCAATCACAGCTGGAGTCGGGCCCATCGCACTGGGACCCAAGGGGAAAATGTATAGGACTGTGCAGACTAGATTTCACTGTTATATAATCAGATGTGAAGGTGGCTGTAGTTTGTAGTTTGGCCACTAGATGGCAGCAATGAAGTTAAATCTGTAATTTAACACAATAAGAAACCTTTGTTGTCACTTTTCTTTCCTTAGGTCTCAGATTTTTAGTTTTGTACATTCTTACAAGAGTGAATGTTTTTTTATTCTAAGAAAGCAGACTCATTTACTTTTTGAAGACTCCACAAGGTGAATATATCTGAACGTGTTTAGTTGAATTCGTCATGTTTGAAGAAACTCTGTATATGATGTATAAAAGCTTTGTTTTAACTCGCTCTTGTTTCAGATCATGTTATGTTATTGGCTCATATGTTACATATATTTCAGCTGTAGTTTCCTACCTTTGACCTCCTGACCTCAGAGGGACGTTTGTGAGCAGCAGCTCACAACAGCAGGTGAATACTGTAAATCCTGTGTTTGTGTTGATTGCTTATCAAACGATCTCAATGATCCAGACTCTTAAAGTCTGAGTCAGGTCGAACTCGTCGGACCAGCAGCAGCTTCTTCTTCCTCTCTATTTCTCTGTTCAATGATTGTTTAGTTTCTCTTTGAACCTTTCTGTTCTCACTCTTCCTCCTTTCACTCGTCTGACTCTTTCTTGTTGCTCCCCTTTTACATTTTAAATCCAATCCTCGGCCTGTTTGTTCAGACCTCCTGACCCTCATCTGACCTCCTGACCCTCATCTGACCTCCTGACCCTCATCTGACCTCGTGACCCTCATCTTGGACCTCCAGTCCTGACCCTCATCTCGGACCTCCTGACCCTCATCTCTGACCTCCAGTCCTGACCCTCATCTCTGACCTCCAGTCCTGACCCTCACCTCAAACCTCCTGACCCTCATCTCAAACCTCCTGACCCTCATCTCAAACCTCCTGACCCTCATCTCTGACCTCCTGACCCTCATCTTGGACCTCCAGTCCTGACCCTCATCTCGGACCTCCTGACCCTCATCTCAAACCTCCTGACTCTCATCTCTGACCTCCAGTCCTGACCCTCATCTCAGACCTCCTGACCCTCATCCCGGACCTCCAGTCCTGACCCTCATCTCAGACCTCCTGACCCTCATCTCTGACCTCTAGTCCTGACCCTCATCTCAGACCTCCTGACCCTCATCTCTGACCTCCAGTCCTGACCCTCATCTCGGACCTCCTGACCCTCATCTCAGACCTCCTGACCCTCATCTCGGACCTCCTGACCCTCATCTCTGACCTCCAGCCCTGACCCTCATCTCAAACCTCCTGACCCTCATCTCGGACCTCCTGACCCTCATCTCTGACCTCCAGTCCTGACCCTCATCTCAGACCTCCTGACCCTCATCCCGGACCTCCAGTCCTGACCCTCATCTCAGACCTCCTGACCCTCATCTCGGACCTCCTGACCCTCATCCGACCTCCTGACCCTTATCTCTGACCTCCAGTCCTGACCCTCATCTCGGACCTCCTGACCCTCATCTCGGACCTCCTGACCCTCATCTTGGACCTCCAGTCCTGACCCTCATCTCAAACCTCCTGACCCTCATCTCTGACCTCCTGACCCTCATCTCAAACCTCCTGACCCTCATCTCAGACCTCCTGACCCTCATCTCGGACCTCTAGTCCTGACCCTCGTCTCTGACCTCCTGACCCTCATCTCGGACCTCCTGACCCTCATCTGACCTCCCAATCCTCATCTCTTAGTCTCTGGGTGCAGCTCTAGATGACCTCAAGTTCTGTGTTTTCAGGTCCTCATTGAACCTCCTCTCTCTTCGCTGCAGGGATCAGCTGCAGAGTGACTTCCTGTTCCCCACAGTCGTCCAGCGGACGTGTACATCTGTCTCGTACAAACCCAGATATCAGCAGAGCTTGTCCTAATTGGCTAACAGCGCAGAGTGAGCCTAACCTGTAAGCCTCTTACAGTAATGCACCTGCTGCTGAGCCGACACACCGGCATGACACAGCACAGCACGGTGGAAACACAGCGACAAACAGCTCCATTACATGACCTCTTCAGCCGGCGTGCAGCTCTGAGGAGATGACTCTGTGATTCTTCACCCTCCTCCGATCTTTGAGAGATGCTCAGCGGGGATCTGGTGGCTGTGTGGGAGGTGGCGCTCAGCGAGGACGTGTATATGATCGAGTTCGCTCATGGCACCACCACGGGAAAACGAATCGTCCACATTAACGGGAAGGTGAGTCTACGACTCTGCCTTGTGGTTTTATAATCTGATGACGACTTTAGTCTTTGTTGAACATCACAGGATGAAGCTTGGAGAAACAAAGGGGACCCTCAGAGTCCTGAAACCTAGACCAGCCGAGTGTGGACCAGACCAGACTCCACATGTTCAGGAATAAGAAGCTCCACTTAAAGGGTTAATATGTGATTAACACACTTAAATGTATAAATCAAGTATATCCTCTGAAAATAACTCTGTGAGTCATGACTGTCTACAATGAGTGTAACACCCGAGTCCCACTGTCTGTGATGTTTTCAGAGTTTTCAGAGTCCTATCTTCAGTTTGTTTACATCGCCCGGACGGCCGGCTGACTCCTCCCCTCGTGTATAAAAGTTGTTTAATTGAGGGACTAGAGAAAAGAAGAATAACATACTGTACTCACTGCTTAACTGTGTTTCTAGATCACGCTCATTTCAGGTAAATTTACATGCAGTGTGAAGATATGAGCATAATAAAGATCGCTAGCATTAGCATGCTAACACAACAATGCAGCGCGAGTTGTTTTGGTTTCATGCGAATTTTTTGGGCGACATCTGCTGGATCAATAAATCACATATAAAGCCTTTAAAGTTTACAGGTAAATACAGAACACATACACTCCTTGAACAGAGTTTTTGAGGAGAACAAGAAAACAAAATCAATCACGCCGAACCAGGCACGAAGATTTAAAGTAAAGTTTATATTAAGCTTTCATGACGTTTCTCTCTGGTGTTTGGCGAGAAGGTGATCACAGCGGAGGCTCAGCCAGCAGCAGTTTCTCTCAGTTTAGCGTAGATGACATAATCTACTGTACAGATTAAACAAACAGGCTGCACCTCGTTAATCCACGACTTGTGGAGATCATGACAGGCAGATTTTTGATCGCTTTAGGGACAGCAAGGCTAGCAGTTTCCCCCTGCCTACAAGTCCTTATGCTAAGCTAAGCTAATAATGACAAATATGACATCAGTCCTCTCGTGACTCCTCCAGTCAGAGCTGAGAGTTTGTGGTGTTTCTTATAAGAGTTCAGCTCATCACTCCTCAGCTTTAGTCATGTTTCCTATTATATGACAGAAGTTTACAGAGTATTTTTGTTTATCTTTTAACTTTAAAAAATCTTTGTCAAGTGTGACATCTTTTCCCCCATCGGCATCACAGATCCCCCTGCAGGCACAGAAGTTACTTCATGTTCATCTTTCAGGATTTGTGAGCCTTCAGGGTATTTTCTCTGAAAGCTTGAGGTTGGTGTTCACATGCAAAGACAGTTTAGTCACTCGTTTGTTTTCAGTTCAAGGTTTTAGAGGAAGTAAAATGCCTTATTACTAAATGAAACTACCTTGTGTCAGTGTAACATTTCAAAGTTCATTTACATTTACATTTACATTCTCAGTACTTGAGTCCATTTGTTTGCAAATACTTCAGCACTTTAACTGGAGAAGGCAGCAGTAGAACCTTTTCCACAGCTGATCGAGCGTTCAGACTGATGAATAAATCAGTGCAGCTGTTTGTTTCCATGTGGTGACAGCATGCGACTGGTTTCCTCAACAGGAAGTCGTCAGGAAGGACTGGATGTTTAAGCTGGTCGGACAGGAAACCTTCACCGTGGGAAGCTCCAACACCAAAGCCACCATCTTCATCGAGGCCATCAGCGGCTTCACCTACGAGTACACGCTGGAGATCGACGGCAAGAGTCTGCAGAAGTTCACCGACGACAGATCCAAGGTCAGCAAGACCTGGGAGCTCAAGGTGGACGGAGAGGACTGCCGAGTCGTCCTGGGTGAGACTCGTTTACCTGCTGCAGGTTTAGTGTTTGTAGGTTTGTTGTTGTGTAGCTGCAGCACGCTCTGTGTTTACAGGTTTGTTGTGTATTGTTGTGTAGCTGTAGCATGATCAGTGATTACATGAGTGAAGGCAGGCGACCCACTGAAGCTTAATCTGCTCAGGTTGAGAATGCGGAAGTTATTTTAGGAGCCTGCTGCCACTCTAAACCTCTGTGCAGGCTTTAAATACTACAGATGTAAATAAGCATGTCATTAGAGACATGCAGGTTCAGTTGTTGTGTTATTAAATCTGTAAAATGTTGCATAACATTCTTCCTGTATTTCTATCAGAAAAGGACACCATGGATGTTTGGTGCAACGGGCAGAAAATGGACACAAAGGTGAGAATCACTCCTTCACTGTAGTCCCTGCTCAAATGTGATTTAAGACTTATGTTCTTGTGATGGAGGCTCCAAACCTGACTTAAAGGTTTTCATATTCATAGTGTTTATTGTGTTATTTCTCAGAGTAAACACAGATTGAAGAAGTCATGAATCTGTTATCAGAAATATTTGTTCAGTCGTAGCAGAAATCATCAAATCACTGAGTCTTAAAGAGGCTCCATGTTTTTCCTCCTAATTGACTCGACTTGATGACCCACAGGGAGAGTTTGTGGACGACGGCACAGAGACGCACTTCATGCTGGGGGAACACGAGTGCTGCATCAAGGCGGCGAGCAGTGGGAAGAAGAGGAGCGGCATTGTGCACTATTTACTGCTGGACGGGGAGAAAGTTCCAGCTGCGACACAATGAAGCTGCAGCAGCGGAGACTGAACTTTCAAAGACACTCTGACTATCAGGTGTGCTGCCTTTATTTTGAAGTCAGTAATTTGAATTAAGTTAAAAATGTTAAAATAAGTGGCTATAATAAGTTAGATTTAAAAGATTAATAACATTTCATTTTTACATTAGTTCATGGTTTATACTGCCATCTATTGGTCATTGTGGGTAGTTAGTTCATTAAGTCGCATGCTGCAGTGAAGCAGTCAGAAGGACAGAGAGAGACAGATGATTGGAAGAGAAGGCAATTAAGATGTCTGCTGTGTTAGATGAACAAAGCAATAAATCTCTTGCTAAGACAGAATTCTTCAACATCTTTGAAGTCAAAGCCAACCCTGCTCCATACACCCTGAAAACCTGTTCTGGGGAATCAGAAACTTCAGGTAGAAGAGCTGCTGACTTTATTATTGAGTCTCTGGATGGTAAGATACAAATACCATTACCCACCCTGATTGAGTGTGACATGGTACCTGACGACAGGACCAAAATTCCATCGCCAGAGATTGCAAAACATCACCCACACTTACAGTCAGTTGCTAATAAGATTCAACCTGTTGACGAAGATGCTCCGATCCTCCTGCTCTTAGGAAGAGACGTCCTTCGGGTGCATAAGGTTCGAGAGCAGGTCAGCAGGCCCCACAATGCGCCCTACGCACAGTGGCTGGACTTAGGATGGATCATTGTTGGAGAAGTGTGCATGGGGACAGTTCGCGAACCATCAGAGGTCAGTGTTTACAAAACAAACATACTGCACAACGGTCGGACATCCTTTTTCAAGCCATGTCCTCAAAGTATCTACATTAAGGAAAACTACAGCGAAATGAAACAGGGTCATGAACCACCTTATCCTGCATCTGATGTGAAAGCAAGTCTCAGCTTGACAACTGACAACCTAGGAGGTTCGGTTTTTGAAAGCTCCAAGAATGATGATACTCTTGCACTCTCCATAGATGATTAAGATTTTCTGGCCATTATGGATGCAGAAGTCTACCAGGATAAAGGTAACAGCTGGGTGGCGCCTCTGCCATTTCGCTCTCCAAGACGACGCCTGCCGAGCAATAAAGAGCAAGCTTTTAAACGTCTCTGCTCAGAATTCTGGAGAAAAAGCCAGAAATGAAAGATCACTTTGTCAAGTTCATGCAAAAGATGCTAGACAACGATCAAGCTGAGCCTGCTCCACCTTTAGACAAAGGTAAAGAACATTGGTATCTGCCAACGTTTGGGGTTTACCACCCTCAGAAGCCAGGTGAAATAAGGGTTGTGTTTGATTCAAGCACTGAATGTGATGGAACTTCTCTCAATGATGTCTTGCTTAGCGGACCTGACTTGAACAACACCGTGTTCGGGGTCCTTTTGCGGTTTTGTAAAGAACCTGTAGCCCTTACAGCAGATGTGCAGCAAATGTTCTATTGCTTTGTTGTACGAGAAGACCACAGGGATTATCTGCGATATCTCTGGTATGAGGACAATAACATCGCCAAGAATGTAGTTGAATACAGGATGAATGGGATGCTCCTCTCCATCCAAAAAAGGAAATTGAATGGAACAAATGGAAAGGTTCTTTGGAGGCTCTTGAAGACTTGCCTTTACAGAGGTGTTACATTCCAGTTTCATTGTCTTCTACTCAGAGAAAGGAACTCTGCATCTTTTCAGATGCTTCGACAGTAGCCATCGGAGCTGTGGCATATTTGAGAGCTGCAGACAACGAGGGACAATACCATGTTGGATTCGTCATGGGGAAGTCAAAACTGGCCCCTCGTCCTGCCCACACAGTTCCACGTCTTGAACTCTGTGCAGCTGTGCTAGCTGTTGAACTTTATGAGCTGATCAGGGATGAGCTAGACATTGAGGTTGACACTGTGAAGATTTTCTCTGAATGTAACATCATTCTTGGATATATTCACAACACCACAAAACAGTTTTACATGTATGTTTCCAACCGAATCACTCGGATAAGAAGATCCACTCATTCCAACCAGTGGTACTTATGTACCAACAGAACTGAACCCTGCAGACCATGCAACACGGTCTATACCAGCAGCTCAACTTCAAAACAGCAACTGGTTCACAGGACCACCTTTCCTGTATCATGACAGGGCAGATGAGACACCTGAAGCTGCTCTTTTCACCCTTGTTGAGCCTGAAACTGATGACGAGATTCGTCCTGAAGTCACAACTCTGGCTACCAAGGCATCCAAGTCCCACTTGGCATCACAACACTTTGAGAGGTGCTCAAGCTGGAGAATCATAGCCAAACTCATTCATGTTGCTGCATCTTTCAAAGGAATGTTAAACGATGCTGAAAGAAAAGGATGGAAATGTTTCACAGAGTCGTCCAGCACAAGTGAGCTTTTACAGGCCAAAGCTGTGATAATTTGTTCTGTCCAGCATCAAGCTTTTAAGGAAGAGCTGAAAAGTCTTAAAGGTAAACAGACATGCGACAAACAAAACACACTCAAGAAGCTAAATCCAGTTGTGGATCAAGATGGTCTGCTTCGTGTTGGAGGTCGTCTTTCTTCTGCTGACCTTTCAAATGAAGAAAATCACCCACTAATTATTCCACACACTCATCACATCTCCACACTACTTGTGAGACACTTTCATGAACAAGTAGCTCATCAAGAAGACACATCCGGAGCTATCCTAGCAGCTGGGAACTGGATAGTTGGGAGTAAACATCTGGTGTCTTCTGTAATCCACAAGTGTGTTATCTGCCGCAAACTCAGAGGGAGGCTCGAGGACCTAAAGATGGCAGAGCTGCCTCCTGACAGGCTTACTCCAGAACCTCCATTCACCAGTGTTGGTCTTGATGTTTTTGGGCCATGGTTTATCATGACACGTCGCACCAGAGGAGGAAGTGCTGACAGCAAGCGCTGGGCAGTACTCTTCACATGCTTGTCAACCAGAGCAGTGCATATTGAACTGATTGAAACTATGTCCACAGACAGTTTCATCAATGCTCTAAGGAGGTTTTTCTCTGTATGTAGTCAAGCAAAACTTCTCAGGTCAGACAGAGGGACTAACTTTGTTGGAGCTTGTAAGGAGTTGGACATAAACACAGATAACTCCACAGTCAAGACTTACCTCCATGGCAAAGGATGCTCCTGGGTGTTTAATCCACCTCATGCTTCTCACATGGGTGGCTCCTGGGAGCAGCTCATCAGAGTTTCCAGACGCATACTGGATGCAATGTTGCTTCAGACAGGGCCAACACGTCTCACTCATGAAGTACTGAGCACATTCATGGCAGAGGTAATGGCGATTATAAATGCAAGACCCCTTGTGTCTAAGCCACTGACCCAGATATGCCTGAAGTACTCACCCCGGCAATGCTCCTTACTCAGAAGGTGAGCACTATTTCAGCCCCCTCTGGAAACTTTGGAGTACCTCAGTTGTACAAAAAGCAGTGGAAGCATGTCCAGAGTCTTGCCGACACCTCCAAAAGATGGAAAGGGGAGTATCTGTCTACTCTTCAGAATCGCAGAAAATGGACAAAAGACAAACCAAATGTCAAGGAAGGAGACATTGTCTTGCTAAAAGACAGCCAGGCCCACAGGAATGAATTGCCCATGGGACTGGTGATTAAGGCTTTGCCAAGCAGTGACAAGAAGGTGCAAGGTGGAAGTGCGCATTGTGCAGGATGGGACGGCAAAGGTGTTTCTAAGACCAGTCTCAGAAATTGCGATTCTTCTTTCAGAGCCTTAGAGAAAGGACTCTTAGTATGGTTTGAACTGAAGACATTCCCTTTTGAGTCTTGTTGTATTTGTAGTTATATAATGTTGTTATATCAAGCGGGGAGTGTGGTCATTGTGGGTAGTTAGTTCATTAAGTCACATGCTGCAGTGAAGCAGTCAGAAGGACAGAGAGAGACAGAGGATGCATGTTGCTGCTGAATGGTTTTCTGCTACGCTTCTGCCTTGGAGACATTTGTCTGCAAGTTTCATGTTCAGTTCATTGTTAAAATGTCGAGATATTAACACAAAATTCAAGTCAGAAACTTTTAGTCGTTTTTGTCTTTCATGTGTTCTTAGCTGAAGGTAAATGTAGGAGCTAACTGTTTTCCTCATGGTTATGATAGCTTGTAGCTTTGTGTTGAATTAGCATTTTTATGCATTTCTGTGCTTGCTTGAATTTAGATAGCAATGCTTATACTTTGTAAATGTATACTTGTTATCTGTTATCTGAAATATTGTTATTCTCTTTGTAATATTGCAGTTTTACAAAAACCAAACAAAACGGAAAGGAACTCAAGTAAAATCAAGAAAAGACAAGCTTTGTGTTTTTATTGGAGGACTTTTGTTTGAGTGTTATCTGGCTGTCAAATCCTGTACATTGGAACTTGCAGAAAGGGCAGTACATCAGGTATCTGCATGTCAGGTACTGCAGAAGTACAGGATCAGGACTTCAGATTTGTTCATGAATACATCATAAATAAACCCTGAGCATCTGTCTGCTGCTTCTTTTCTCTCTCAGCTCCTGAGGAACAACAGAAGGAGGACATGTGGGGATTTTTCTGCGTAGGGATTTCTTTGCGCAGCCTCTACGCAACAACTGGCTTCGTGAATGTAGCTGAGTCAAGCACCAGCGGTTTACCCCGAGAAACACCGGAACAAGGTGTACAAAATAAAAGCATCGATTCACGTTTGAATTTTATCAGGATGTTTTTATTTATTTTTTTATTTGTACATTTTATTGCATTCAAACAAACAATAAAGTTAAGAAAAACAAACAAACGTAAAATCTCAAATTTTGAATGAAAAGGAGCAGAAAGAAGATTAAGCTTATAATATCTGCCCCTCTTTCACAAAACATTAATTAAAACAAAACAAAACACTTACTTCAAAAACAATTAAAATTAAATTAAATTGGCTGCAGGCAAACACAGCCACTAGCAGCCCCATTGTAGGTCCTCCTTAACAATTCATTATACACCTTACTTATACATTTTTGTTACAGCATCACGAAACAAATCAGTATCTCACTGACATATTTCCACATATTTATTCAACCAACTGGCTTTAATTTGTCTTTTAAATATCATGTTTGATTTTGATTCTTTAGTTTCTCTGTTGAGATTGTTCCATAAACGATTCCTTTTACAGTAAAACAACGTTCCTTCAATTTGGTTTTGAATCTCAGTTTATTAAAGATCTCTGTTCCTTTTAAATTATAACAGCTTTCCCTTTTTTCAAATCTGTTTTGAATGTTTTTTGGCAATGTTTTCTGATTAGCTTTAAAAAGTTAATATCATCTGATACTTAAATTCACCTCTCATATTCAGTTTATCTGTTTTAATAACTTCATTGCAATGATCAAGTGTCAGACAGTTTCTCTTAAAATGCAGTTTATAAATTTTTAAACATCATATCAAAGTTTTTATTCTGGTATCAGACATCCATACTGCAATGTTTTTGTGCAATTTAGACAGTGTGCAGGAGATTCCCTGTAATTTCTGGTGTTTGTTTCTTTTTTTTTAAGGTTTCTTTTTGCCATTATTTAGAAACAAGACTGGAGATAGAGACAACAAACAGGGAAAGAGAGAGTGACGACATGCAGGAGAGAGACCAGTCAGCCCACAGATCGGATTCTAACCCAAGCAGCCTGCCTGTAGGACTCTAGCTTTTGTACATGGGGTGTGCGTACTAACCGCTAGGCTACCGGCACTCCCAATTTCTAGTAATTTTAAAACAAAAATTGCCAGATGTCGGGTGCATTGGGCTTGTTCTTTTGTGTGCCGTGGTATCCAAACATCGTTAGGTTATTGCTGGATGAAAGTTTCAATTCTGGTTTTGTGAAATCTGTACGAAAAAGTTGCAGATGTTTTTGTGCAATTTCAGACAGTGTGCAATTTTTTGTTATTAAAAACAAGAAATAACCAGATTTACCAGAGTGTCTGGGATTTATATTTTTGTTGCCATGGTATCCAAACAGGTATCAACCATAGACTGTAAAAATAACATTGTTAGATGTTTTTCCGTATGAGTCGTATCGAAGTCACAAATAAAAATAAAAACCCTGGAGTGTAAACATGTAAAAATAAAAATAAAAAAAAAATAATAAAAAAAAACCTGGAGTGTAAACATGTAAAAATAAAAAATAATAACAAAATAATAAATAAAAAAATCCTGGAGTGTAAACATGTAAAAAGAAAAATCTCACTGGTACGTCATATAACATGAAACATACGGCTTTTATTCTGAAGTGACAACCGGAAGTCACCTGTTCGGTCACCGACACTTGACACCTCGGGGAGGAAACACATTGAAGGTAATGACGTCCCCGGTCGGGATACTGTGGCTCCACTGTACCCGGGATGGACCTCACAGCACGGGAAGGGGGAACGGCTGAGTGACTGCGCGCCGCGTGTGGGAACCTACCTGTAAAAAAAAAAAAGTGTCGCTTAGCAACAGCCGGTTCGATTTCGGAGGCGCACGAGCACCGCTGGGCTCGCGCAGGTTTTTTACCGGGGACGTTAATTTGCGCAGCTGGTCCCGGAGACAAAACAACGGACGGACGGGAACAGGCATCCTAACTCCCCCCGGAGAGGACAGTTAGTCAGGCTGCTTCTTACTTTATATTTTAAACATGGCTGCTTCACGTCGCTCTGGGGCTCTGACACCCCGCTCAGCCGGTTTGTGAAGCCGACTTTCACGCCTCATAAACGGGTCAGTTTTCCCAGTTTCCCCCCCCGGCTGGGAAGCTACAGCTAGTTAGCGTTAGCCGGCTAGCCTAGCCGCCAAACAACAAGGCCGTTTTATCCTCTTTTATGACTCTAAGTGACTCTGAAAGCTGCTTTAAATTCAACAAAAGAAGAAGAAGAGTGTTTTTTATCTTAAACGGGCGTGTGAGGAGGACATGGGGAAGCTGTGCTCTGCCTGCCGCACATCTGTCACCGCTCCGGGATTGGGAACCGGGACGCCCCGGGGAACAGCTGCTTTCAGCGGCCAGTAGCAGCAGACTGACCGCCCCCCCTGTCCCCCCCCCGTCCTGCAGAAAACAACGCTGAAGTATCACTTTCATTGACATTTCCAGGGATGTAGAGGAGGGAAACTGCCTCCTTTGACTGTTTAAAGTCCACCCACTCAGTGGTTTATTTTAATGTGTTAATTTCCTCCTGATAAAGATGGAAATGGTGATCTGAGGCTTCCCCCGAGCGCCTGGAGGTCACAGCTTTCACCTTCCTCACCTCTACTCCTCTGCAGAGAAGCGTCTTCATTTCTCGGATCCCCCCCCCCCCCCGGAGGAGTTGTCGCCGTCGTGATGAACTACCAGCAGCATCTGGCCAACTCGGCCGCCATCCGCTCCGAGATCCAGAGGTTCGAGTCCGTCCACCCCAACATCTACTCCATCTACGAGCTGCTGGAGCGGGTGGAGGAGCCGCTGCTGCAGAACCAGATCCGGGAGCATGTCATCGCGATTGAAGGTAGGACAATGAGGAGGGTTCAAAGGGAAACTGCACACTGTCTGAATTGCACACATGCATTGACTATATTCTGTATTTGTGCAGAAGTAGACAGCGTGCAGCAGTTTACCTGCAATGTTTGAGGCCTTTAAACGGTCTGGTAAATGTGTCAGACTCCTTGTTGATGTTCTGGGTTTGCTTGTGATGAATGTGGACACTTGGTTTCACTCTCCTGGTGGCTGAAAAGGTCGAAAAGAAGAATGAAATCTACCTGGTGGGACCTTCATTTCTCTCAGTTCTAAAAGTCACTGTGAGATAAAAACAGGTTTTGCTTGGCGGGTATTCTGACCCTGACCCTGACCGTGCACAGAACTTTTGATATTTTCTGATTCAAGCAGTGTATCCACTTTAATGCATTTCATTCCTCTGATGCAGCTTTTAACTTTCTCCTTCTGAAGTCGGCCCATCTATCGTCCTTTATTGCAACATTTTCACACACATGTCATTTACCTTTCATCGAAAAGAAACCTGCTCTGAACACCTGTGATGTCATAATTAGGATATGTAAGAGACTCTGTCAGAGTTGCTGGTTTGATTCCTTGTTGCATGAAGACATTTTATGAAGCTGACAGGAGTTACACACGTGGTGATAATAACTCTCAGATACTGAATACTGAGCAGCTGAATGTTTCTGTGATTATCATCAAAATATGAAACATGTTCGGACGTTCCTTTCAAATGAAGGAGTTTTATTTTTGAAGTGGTTTCAGCGTGATGTGTTTTATTGGATATGATTTGACATGCTGAATGTTGGGAGGAAGTTGGCACAGGTGTCTTTGATATATTTTGGACATGTTGAGGACCGTATCCTCTAACAGCCAGATAATAACGTAATTAACATCGATGTTTTAAACCGCTTCCTGACGCTGAGTTTCAGATTTGTAAACGGTTTGGAGATGACTTCAGCAGTAGTGGCCACGTTTGATTTTCTCTGGAGGTTTGCCGGCTGACATCTTCCTCCAGATGTTGTAAACATGATGCCGTATGCGGACTCGTTCATCAGGGAACTCTGATGTTTTGAAGCGTCTTCTCTTCCTGTTTGCAGACCAAACCTGACGCTGCTGTGTTTATGTGATGCCTGACTTTGTTTAGGAACATCTGTAGACACATGTGTACATCCCGACCTGCGCTGTGATGTGCACATGTGTCAGGTCGGCCAGCGTAGTCCTGTCGACATTGATGCGTTCTCTAACAGGATTTTTGACTTTACCACGCGGACAGTGTATGTGTGAAGGTTAGGTTAAAAGAGAACGAGTGCAGCCTAAATGTTCAGACGTGTCTGCACCCCTGGACGGTGAATCGGGTCTGCCTGCCTAGAGAGAGACTTGTTGAGTATTTCTGAGGCTTAAAAACGGATCTAGGCACAAAAGAAGAATTTAAACAGCATCAAAGCCGACATGAAGACCAGTCGAGGTGTCATCGTGTGTGAATGTGCACAGCTGTCGGAGCAGTGACTCGCTGCTACTTTGCTCATTTCCATTTTCCCTGAAATCAGAGGCACACGGTGACTCACTCAGCCTGCTGTCATGCTGGAAATAACCCAGAACAGCAGCAACAGCAGCAGCAGCCGCACTGTCATCCTCTGTCTCTGCCCTCAGCGCACATCTGGACGTGTCACTCACCCTCCTGTCATGTTATGCAAGCCGTCAGCTGTAGAGGCCACCGTCCCCTCCGTGTGTTTGTGTTGTCGTTATGTAAGAGACGGTTGTCGATTCTTCTCCAAGACCGACTCCGAGTTATGATCCCTCCTTATTAATCAGGAGACGCTCGGCCTAGTTACAGCGCCGTGACTCACATCTAGACACACATTCTCCGGCGACGCGGGGCTCATTTGCATGTGAGGTGTGTGTGTGTGTGTGTGTGTGTGTGAGGATGTCAGCCAGGTGACACTGACCCATTTTCTGTAGCTGTGGATGCATGAACAGAAAAAGGAGAAACGGCTTCTCTGATGTGAACATCGCTCACTTCATTCTCTCACAGCAGGAGAGGAATCGTCGTTCTGTTCTTTTTTTTTAACAAACAGGTTTCCCCCCCGAGGGTTTTACAGACTGAAAGGCAGTGAATCAGAGATAATTAACACCAGAGAGGAACTACACCAGTCGAGACTTTTTGTGTTAACAAGGAGTCAAAGTTTGTCTCTGATTATATCACGTCTCATGACAGGATCATATCATGACGAATAAATCAGCCTGCAGGTTCCTTTGAGCTGTGAAACATCAAGACAGACCTGTGATCAAAGAGTTAGCATGTTCTCATAAACCAAAT